AATCATGCCAAATTGTAAAGACTATTGATGCTAGCAAGAAACTGCATCAACTAACGGGTAAAATAATCAGCTAACATCATAACGACAGGATCAAATGCATACATAACAATATTAACCTTAAATGTAAATGGGCTAAATGCCCCAATTAAAAGACACAGACTAGCAAATTGGATAAAGAGTCAAGACCCATCAGTGTGCTGTATTCAGGAGACCCATCTCACATACAGAGACACACATAGGCTCAAAATAAAGGGATGGAGGAAGATCTACCAAGTAAATGGAAAGCAAAAAAAAGCAGGAGTGGCAATCCTAGTCTCTGATAAAACAGACTTTAAACCAACAAAGATCAAAAGAGACAAAGAAGGCCATTACATAATGGTAAAGGGGTCAATTCAACAAGAGCTAACTATCCTAAATATATATGCACCCAATACAGGAGCATCCAGATTCATAAAGCAAGTCCTTAGAGACCTGCAAAGACACTTAGACTCCCATACAATAATAATGGGAGACTTTAACACCCCACTGTCGATGTTAGATAGCTCACTGAGACAGAAGGTTAATAAGGATATCCAGGACTTGAACTCAGCTCTGGACCAAGCAGACTTAATAGACATCTACAGAACTCTCCACCCCAAATCAACAGAATATACATTCTTCTCAGCACCACATCGCACTTATTCCAAAATTGACCACATAGTTGGAAGTAAAGCACTCCTAGCAAATGTAAAAGAACAGAAATCACAATAAACTGTCTCTCAGACCACAGTGCAATCAAATTAGAACTCAGGATTAAGAAACTCACTCAAAAAAGCTCAACTACATGGAAACTGAACAACCTGCTCCTGAATGACTATTGGGTACGTAACAAAATGAAGGCAGAAATAGAGATGTTCTTTGAAACCAATGAGAACAAAGACACAACATACCAGAATCTCTGGGACACATTTAAAGCAGTGTGTAGAGGGAGATTTGTAGCACTAAATGCCCACAAGAGAAAACAGGAAAGATCTAATATCAACACTCTAACATCACAATTAAAAGAACTAGAGACCCAAGAGCAAACACATTCAAAAGCTAGCAGAAGACCAGAAATAACTAAGATCAGGACAGAACTGAAGGAGACAGAGACACACACACACACACAAAAAAAAAAAACATCAAAAAATCAGTGAATCCAGGAGCTGGTTTTTTGAAAAGATCAACAAAATTGATAGACCACTAGCCAGACTAATAAAGAAGAAAAGAGAGAAGAATCAAATAGATGCAATAAAAATGATAAAGAGGATATCACCACTGATCCCACAGAAATACAAACTACCATCAGAGAATACTATAAACACCTCTATGCAAATAAACTAGAAAATCTAGAAGAAATGGATATATTCCTGGACACATACACCCTCCCAAGACTAAACCAGGAATAATTTGAATCTCTGAATAGACCAATCTCAGGTTCTGAAATTGAGGCAATAATTAATAGCCTACCAACCAAAAAATAAAGTCCAGGACCAGATGGATTCACAGCTGAAGTCTACCAGAGGTACAAGGAGGAACTGGTACCATTCCTTCTGAAACTATTCCAATCAATAGAAAAAGAGGGAATCTTCCCTAGCTCATTTTATGAGGCCAGCATCATCCTGATACCAAAGCCTAGCAGAGACACAACAACAACAAAAGAGAATTTTAGACCAATATCCCTGATGAATATCGATGCAAAAATCCTTAATAAAATACTGGTAAACCAAATCTGGCAGCACACCAAAAATCTTGTCCACCACGATCAAGTCAGCTTCATACAGGGGATGCAAGGCTGGTCCAACATATGCAAATCAATAAATGTAATCCATCACATAAACAGAACCAGTGACAAAAACCACATGATTATCTCAATAGATGCAGAAAAGGCCTTCGACAGAATTCAACAGCCCTTCATGCTAAAAACTCTCAATAAACTAGGTATTGATGGAACGTATCTCAAAATAATAAGAGCTATTTATAACAAACCCACAGCCAATATCTTACTGAATGGGCAAATACTGAAAGCATTCCCTTTGAAAACTGACACAAGACGGGGATGCCCTCTCTCACCACTCCTATTCAACACAGTGTTGGAAGTTCTGGCTAGGGCAATCAGGCAAGAGAAAGAAATCAAGGGGATTCAATTAGGAAAAGAAGAAGTCAAATTGTCCCTGTTTGCAGATGACATGATTGCATATTTAGAGAATCCCATTGTCGCAGCCCAAAATCTCCTTAAGTTGATAAGCAACTTCAGCAAAGTCTCAGGATACAAAATCAACGTGCAAAAAATCACAAACATTCCCAAACACCAATAACAGACAAACAGAGAGCCAAATCATGAGTGAACTCCCATTCACAATTGCTACAAAGAGAATAAAATACCTAGGAATCCAACTTACAAGGGATGTGAAGAACCTCTTCAAGAAGAACGACCAACCACTGCTCAATGAAATAAAAGAGAATACAAACAAATGGAAGAACATTCCATGCTCATGGATAGGAAGAATCAATATCATGAAAATGGCCATACTGCCCAAGGTAATTTATAGATTCAATGCCATCCCTGTCAAGCTACCAACGACTTTCTTCACAGAATTTGAAAAAATTGCTTTAAAGTTCATATGGAACCAAAAAAGAGCCCACATTGCCAAGACAATCCTAAGTAAAAAGAACAAAGCTCGAGGCATCATGCTACCTGACTTCAAAGTACACTACAAGGTTACAGTAACCAAAACAGCATGGTACTGGTACCAAAACAGAGATAGACCAATGGAACAGAACACAGCCCTCAGAAATAACACCACACATCTACAACCATCTGATCTTTGACAAACCTGAAAAAACAAGAAATGGGGAAAGGATTCCCTATTTAATAAATGGTGCTGGGAAAACTGGCTAGCCATATGTAGAAAGTTGAAACTGGATCCCTTCCTTACACCTTATACAAAACTTAATTCAAGATGGATTAAAGATTTAAATGTTAAACCATGAAAACCCTGGGGAAAAAAAAACCTAGGCAATACCATTTAGGATATAGGCATGGGCAAGGACTTCATGACTAAAACACCAAAAGCAATGGCAACAAAAGCCAAGATAGACAAACGGGATCTAATTAAACTGAAGAGTTTCTACACAGCAAAAGAAACTACCATCAGAGTGGGCAACCTGGCAGGTAAGTGGCCCTTCCCTGGCAAAGCCAAGTGGCTTAGTGTGGGACAGAATAGGCAACCTACAGAATGGGAGAAAATTTTTGCAATCTACCCATCTGACAAAGGGCTAATATCCAGAATCTACAAAGAACTTAAACAAATTTACAAGAAAAAAACAAACAACCCCATCAAAAAGTGGACAAAGCATATGAACAGACACTTCTCAAAAGAAGACATTTATGCAGCCAACAGACACATGAAAAATGCTTATTATCACTCACCTTCAGAGAAATGCAAATCAAAACCACAATGAGATACCATCTGACACCAGTTAGAATGGCAATCATTAAAAAGTCAGGAAACAACAGATGCTGGAGAGGATGTGGAGAAATAGGAACGCTTTTACACTGTTGGTGGGACTGTAAACTAGTTCAACCATTGTGGAAGACAGTGTGGCAATTCCTCAAGGATCTAGAACTAGAAATACCATTTGACCCAGTAATCCCATTACTGGGTATATACCCAAAGGATTATAAATCATGCTGCTATAAAGACACATGCATACATATGTTTATTGCAGCACTATTCACAATAGCAAAGGCTTGGAACCAAACCAAATGTCCATCAATGATAGACTGAATTAAGAAAATGTGGCACATATACACCATGGAATTCTAGGCAGCCATGAAAAAGGATGAGTTCATGTCCTTTGCAGGGATATGGATGAAGCTGGAAACTGTTATTCTAAGCAAACTATCACAAGGACAGAAAACCAAAAACCGCATGTTCTCACTCATAGGTGGGAACTGTACAATGAGAACACTTGGACACAGGGCGAGGAACATCACACATGGGAGCCTGTCTGGGATAGGTGGGATGGAGAGGGATAGCATTAGGAGAAATACCTAATGTAAATGACGAGTTAATGGGTGCAGCAAACCAACATGGGACATGTATACCTATGTAACAAACCTGCACATTGTGCACATGTACCCTAGAAATTAAAGTATAATAATAATAGTAATAAATCTCACCTTTCTGCCAGAATATGCAGAAGAAACAGTGTCTCTGAAACTTTGATTTGCATGGACATCAACAGAGGGTGTAGCTAGAGCCCAAGTGTGTGACAGTCAGATGAAAGTGGCCCTTACCTGGCAAAGCCAAGTGGCTTAGTGTGGGGCAGGTTCATTCAAGAACTTTCTCTACTTCTCTCCCCAGATGCTCCTCAGGATCAAGGTCAGTGCTGTCCCAGAACGTTTAAAGGCAGGGAGAAGAATTACCTTATAGGGCTAACATGTTTTCCCAAAATCTCCAACTTTTTTTTTCTTGTTTAGCCATTGTACAAAATTGGGGAAATGTACAACTTCTGGGTAGATTCTGCATAGTGGAGAAAAGGCTTGAGAGGCACAAAGGCTGGGCTTTACAATCGCTACCCCTCACTCCATCATCCTTATCTATGCATTTCCCTGGTAACCCAATCCACAGCCTGATACCTTCCCCACTGTCATTTCTGTTGCATTACAGACACAGACTTGCAAATAGCTATGATTGTGACTGAGTTTCTTCGTGACACCTGACCCTTTCTCATGCTGCAAGGAAAGCTTGCTGGGAGGAGCATGGAATCTGGAATGAAGCCAGAGGGCAAGGCTTCAAGGGGTCATTTAAGTGCTGCAACTCAGAGATTCACTCAGAAGACTGGACACAATTCCGAAGGTCGCCCAGAAGGAGAGAACAATGTCATTTCTAACTGTGAGTTGAAAAGGCACAGCCTTCAATAATCTCACGTCACACAAACCAAGAAAGAAATGGGGTATTTTATGAGATGAAAATATGAGCGTTCCTACTGTGAATGCTTTACTGAGAGTTCTGGATGTGTGGAAGAGAAACACTGAGGCTACGGTAACTGAGATGCTTGTACCATGTGGGGTGTGGATCCTGGACCAGTGTAACCCTGTGTGAGCATGAGGTGGTGTCTGATGAGAGTGAACTCTGCTGAGATGATATGACTTTAGGTGGGAGGTGGATGGCCCACTAGGTCAAGCAGGTGTGTATATCAGTGTAAGGGGTGATTGTGCTTTGTCTTCCTCTTTGTGATATGAATGTGTGTTTGTGCACAGCCAGACCAGTGCATGAGCATCTTTATGCATACAGTGAACAGGTGTGTGTAACTTAGTGAGTGGCATGGCTCTGTGTGACTGTGGATGTGTGTGCTGGGATGTGACTGGGTATTGAAGGGAAAACATACATGTGGCCTTCTGTGCATGTGAAGGTTCCTCCCCACACAGTAGCATCTCTGATGAAGGAACTGTGTGTCTTTTCATGTCTGGCAATGTGAATCCCAGGTGGCTTAACTGGTGGGGATCTTGGAGATTGTGAGTTACCAAGGACTAGCTTCAGATCACTTATGAGAGTGGAATGTATGATCAGTAGATGTCTCTTCCCAGTAAGAGTGGGGAAGAGGAATGGAGACTATGGGGGTGATGGTTCCTCAGATGGGGTCTGCACAGAGTGACCACTCGCTCTTGCCTCCCAGGCTCAGCTTCCCTGTCCCCAGCCTATCCTGTACTTTCCATTGTGAGACAGGAGGTTTGCTAGAGAAGGACATTAGAGGCCGTGGTTTCAGAGACTGAATCACGTAAAATATCCACGGTAAGCTCTGTCTCAGCTGAGTCTAAACTTGTTCCTCCACCCATGAAGGAACAAGTTTAGTCTCAGTTCAGACAGAGCTTACCGTGGATATTAATCAACAAAGCAGCCGGGTTCACTGGCTCATGGCCATCATCCCACCAATTTGAGAGACAAAGATGAGAGGATAACTTGAGGCCAAAAGTTTGAGACTGGTCTGGGTATCATAGTGAGACCCTTTCTTTAAAAAACTTTAAATATCAGACTGCCAGAGTGGCAGGTACCTTTCACCCCAGCTACACAAGAGGAGGAAGATGTGTGAGGATCACTGCAGCCCAGGAGTTCGACGTTTCATTGAGCTATTATCGCACCACTGCATGTCAGCCTGGGCAACAGAGCAAGACCCTATCTCAAAAATACAGAAAAATCGTCAACCACTTGTAGTCGTGGTAGAAATCAATCGTTCCCTCCAGTTATGTCTCTGACACACAGGCTTCATATGTGCAAGTACTGGGGCTGTGCTCTCAGTAATGTGTGCCCTTCTGGGAAGGACGTCCATTGCCCTTGATGATGGTGATGCATGTGCCTCCCACACACAGGGGTTTCCTGTTCTTTCACACACAGGGGTTTCCTGTTCTTTCATCATTTCTCTCTCTTTCAACAAGTGTTGTTTCCCACTGGAGTGAATTTCTAAATTCTTACATCCTCAAGTCTTGTTTTCATTTTCAGAGTTGAAAACGAAGGCAGGTCAGTGTCGCAGGAGGACTCCCCGGTTCTGTTAGGTCACCACTAACAGGCCCTACCCATGCCAGGGATTAGGGTAAAAGGTTTACATATATTAACTGCTCTATTATGGAGAACTTCTTACAAAGTAGGAATTCGTGATAATCCTCTTTGTTTTAGGGAAACTGAGGAAGTCAAGTAACCGATCTAAGATTGCACGACTAGTAAAAGGCAGAAAGAGGACCGGAATCCAGGCATCTTGGCTCCTGAACCCTTGCTCTTACCTATGGGTCCACCATATCTTCAGGAACACGGGGCCCTGATGTGGTAGGGTGAAAGGAGAGAGTCCACAGAGTCTTCCCTGTGATCTCTAACCTCCTGCACTATGGGAATATGTTACAGGAGGGGAGGCTGCACCTGACCCCTGCACCTCTCACTTACTCTCAATACTCTGGCAGGTGCCATACAAACTGCCTGTGTCTTTGTCTGTTGGTTCCTGCGTGATAATCAAAGGGACACCGATCGACTCTTCTGTGTGAGTACTCCATGGTCCAATGGAGAGGGTGGAGGAGAAAGGAGTATATTTGCTAACAGTTCGACCTTATGTGTGGGTGATGTGAAAATGTCCAGTTGGCAGGATGGAGGCCCCATGCAGGTGCAGGTCCTGGAGACCCTCCAGTATCACGCATGAAACCTGCAGCAACTACATGTGGGCCAGTCATGGGGTCTAGGGGAGGAGGACACTCAGTGGGTTGGGGCTGTGGCTCTTCATCAAGGGGCATAGAATTTTCAGGGAATGAACAAGTCCTAGGCCCAGGTCAGTGGCTGTGACTCAGTTTTCATCTGGGGATGAGGAGCACAGCATCTCCCTGCTGGGGGCACGAGGAGCTGAAGCATCCCCACAGGGATCAGGCCTGCAGTATCATCGGGGAGACTTTTTCGTTGGGTAAAGCGGGGAAGGGATTTGTGTGTGTGTCAAGTGTGTGTCTGCACAATGAAGGAACCTGTCCAACATGTTGTGTGCTTTGCCCTCAGCAATGAACCACAGCTGCAGGTGGATTTCTACACTGAGATGAATGAGGAGTCAGAAATTGCCTTCCATTTGCGAGTGCACTTAGGCCGTCGTGTGGTCATGAACAGTCGTGAGTTTGGGATATGGATGTTGGAGGAGAATTTACACTATGTGCCCTTTGAGGATGGCAAACCATTTGACCTGCGCATCTATGTGTGTCGCAATGAGTATGAGGTGAGCACCGCTGGAGCTCCTAGCACCCAGGCTCTTTGGGATCCCAGAGCAAGAGGCAGCTCTCATTGACCTGGCCTCACCAGTCCCTCGGGGCCCATCTCCCAGAACTACCCCTGCCCCAGGTTTTCATCACAGAGCACCCTCTGCTTGCACTGCCGTCCTCAGCTCTTTCCCAAATCTGACCAAGGTCAAGGTCGGCTCACCTTCCATTTCCCCAATAGTGGAGAATCTCCTCTGTCTTTTCACATAGTGCTCATTTCTACGTATGCCAGTATTTAAATTTTCATGTAGCTGAATGAATACAATATACTTAAGAAAAAAGTTTTTTCTATCAATCATACTTAAGAAAAAAGTTTTTTCTATCAATCATACTTAAGAAAAAAGTTTTTTCTATCAATCATACTTAAGAAAAAAGTTTTTTCTATCAATCA